ACACACACACACACACACACACACACCATATATATATATATATACACACACACACACACACATATACTATATATATATACATACCATATATATACCATAGTTTACATTTTGACAGAAAATATATAATATATACAATGAAATATATATATATACACACACATATATACACATATATGTGTGTGTATATATACATATATTTTTGTGTATATATGTGTGTATATATACATATACATATATTTGTGTGTATATATATACACATATATGTATATGAAACATATATGTGTATATATACACCATAGTTTCTTTATCTATTTAGTATTCCTTTTGACAGAGACTCTGAGCTAAGTAGGAATGGAACAGAAGCCCCTCAGCTTGATACAGGGTGTCTACCAGAAAAACCTCTTTAGCTAATATCATAATTAATGGTGAAAATGCTTAAGTTTTCCTAGTATGATGAGGAACAATAGAAGACTGTGTACTCTCGCTACTTCTATTAAATATTGTACAGAGGTTCTGGCTAACAAAATAAGGCAAGTAAAAGAAATTAAAGTTGTCTTGATTGGAAAAGAAGTAAAACTGTCTATTTGCAGCTGGCTGATTGTCTATGTCAAAAATCTGATAAAATCTGTAAAAAAAAAAAGATACTAGAACTAATAAGTTTAGCACATTTGTAAGACATATTAAAAATTAAATATATTTTTATATGTTAGCAACAAGTAATATATTCAAACTAACAAAGCAACATCATTTACAATAGAAAGAAAAGATATGGAATAGTTTGGGATAAACCTGATAAAAGATGTGAAAGGGATGCTGAAAATTGCAAAACACTGCTGACAGAAATTAAACCCTAAGTCCATGGGGAATATATGGCAGGTTCATTGGTTAGAAGATACAATATTGTTAAAAGCCGTTTCTACCCAAATTAATCTATAGATTCAATACAGTCCTACTCAAAAACCCAGCAGGCAAATTTTTTTTTGGTAGAAATTGATTAACTTATTCTAAAAATCATATGGAAATGTAAAGGACTCAGAATAGTCAAAAGAGCTTTGCAGTAGAAGACACGTTAGAGCACTAACATTACCTGATACCAAAAGTTACAAATCTACAACAATCAAAGTATGGATTGGCATTGGCATAATGATAGATAAATATATCAGTGGAACAGAAGAAGAGAGCACAGAAATAGACCTACTCATCTACACATGAACAGCTGAATTTCTACAAAGCTGCAAAGCTAATTCAGTGACTAGTTCTGCTGTTGTTGTTTTTCAACAAATGGTGCTAAAATTATTGGATGTCTATAGGTAGCAAAAAGGAATGCAACAGAGAATATATAATTTAAAACAGATCATAGATCTAAATGTAAAAACCTAAAAGTTTTTTGAGGGAGATATAAAAGAAAATCTTTGTGATATTGAGCTAGGCAAAGATTTCTTATATACGATATCAAAAGTACAATCCTTAAAAAACCAAATTGATAAACTTGGCCAAAATTAAAAATGTCTGCTCTTGGAAATACACTGTTAAGGGAATAAAAAATAAGCTACAAAATGGGAGAATTATTTTACAAAGCATACATCTGATAAAAGATATGTAGTCTGGATACATGAAGAACCATCAGAATTCAATAAGAAAACAACTCAATTTCAAAAATGGCAAAAATTTAAAAATAATGAAATCCGGTCATTTGCAGCAACATGGATGAGCTTAGAGGACATTGTTAAGTGAAATAAGCCAGGCACAGAAAAGCAAGTATCAAATGTTCTCACTGATATGTGGGAGCTAAAATAGTGGATCACATGGAGGTAGACAGTAGAATTATGGTTACTAGCGTTGGGAAGAGTAGGGGAAAAGGGAGCTGAAAAGAGATTGGTTTATGGGTACAACAATACAGTTAAATAGAAGGAGTAAGTTCTGGTGGTGTTCAATAGCACAGTAGGAGGACTACTTAAAAATAATTTATTGTATATTTCCAAATAGCCAGAAGAAAAGATTTGGAATGTTCCCCAAAGAAATGATAAATGTTTGAAGTGATATCCAATTACTCCAATCTGATCATTACACATTGTGTATACGTATCAGAATATCATATGTAACCCATAAATATGTACCGTCATTATGTATCAATAAAAAAACTAGGCACACCACCAAAGAAGATGCTAAATAAGCATGTGAAAAGGTGCTCAACATTTTAAGACATTGGAGAAATGCAAGTTAAAGCACCAAAGAAATATAGCTATACATCCACTGGAATGTCTACAATTTGAAAAACTGATCATATTGGCAAGAATGTCGAGAGACTAGAACTTTCATACTCTGCTTATGGAGATGTAAAACGGTAAAACCACTTTGCAAACAGTTTGGCAGTTTTTTAAAAATTGAAGCACACATTTATGTCACTCTGCTATTTTCTCTCCTGAGTGTTTACCCAAAAGAAATGAAAGCATACATTTGTACAAAGATTTGTACATGAATGTTACTAGCAGCTTTATTTCTAATACATGTAACTGGAAAAAACCCTAATGTTCATGAACAGGTGAACTGATAAACAATCTGTGATATCTCCGTACAATGAAATACTACTCAGTAATACAAAAGGAATATACTGTGTATATACACAACATGGATGAGTTTCAAAATAGTTATCTTGAATTAAAGAAGCCAGACAAAAAAGAGAACGTAGTGACTAATTCCATTTTTATAGGATGATAGGAAATGTGAATATTTAGTCACAGAAAATAGGTAAGTTTGTTTGGTCATGCTTTTGGGATGGCAAGGTGGAGAGGCTGGGAAGGACTTGGAGGGTAAAATTATGAAGGGTCACTAGGAGACTATTTGGGATAATGAATATATTCATTATGTTGATTTTGGTGGTGGTTTCATGGGCATGTACATATGTCAAAACTTATCAAATTATACACTACAAATATCTGCGGTTTCCTGTTTATCAGTTTTACCTCAATAAAGCTATTAAAAATGCTAATTGTCTTCTGCTGCCCTTTGTCAGCTCTTAGGAATTATCTCCCAAACATACTATTTTAGCTGCAAATATAATGTATAAAGATGCATAATCAACCTTGCTCAGTACTCAGCAACTGTACTCTCCATTGACCCCTTTTTCATGTTTGCAAGTGGTTCTGTAAGACCATTGAATTCCAGAAATGCAGCTTTTAAATGCTAGCACAGATGAGATTTTAACTCAGCAACAACCTTGCTGGGTGACCCATCGTCCGACCTATGCTTGAACAGGAAACTTACCCACTTCACAGGCGTGTATTGTAACTTTGGACAGCTCTCCCTCTTAGAAAGTTGGGGCTATTGATAAGATTTCACTTACATTTTTATTGGTTGGGATAAAAATACATGTTGTCGGAAGAAATTTTTAATATCCAAAAGCCCAAATCTTGGAGTGGACAAGCTTCCTTAAGAGAAGTAGTAGTGTCTACTGTAGTGATTTCTGAGCTAAGTCCTTCTTTAGCCACAGCAGAGAAAGGGCAGTGTCAGGTCAGTGGCCCAGTGGGTAGGGCAAGGGGTTCCTGACCTTCACTAATGTTTTGTTCAAAACAGGATTTTAAAAAATTTGTTTTATTATTCTGATTTTATATAAGTTTCTCTTGACAACAGTTTTTAAATCACTGGAGTGGTGAGAAGAACTTTTCTTTGAGCAGAGAGGCATGAATTTACATCTTTCTCATCATTTTTTAGATACTTTATACATTAGTAATGTTGGTAAGACAGATTAAGTGAAATGCTCAGCTATAAGAATTGAGAGTTGCTCTTTCAAAATGATTGTTTTGGTATTGGCTTGCTGTATATTTTGTTGCTATAACAAAATACCTTGAACTGGCTAGCTTAACAGGAATTTATTGTGTCACAGTTCTAGAGACCGGAGCTCCAAGGTGGAGGTGTTGGCGGCTTTGATTTTTGCTGAGGCCCCTCCCCTTAATTTGCACACTGTATCCTCATGTGGTCACCCCTGCTGTGTGTGTTGTCTGTGTCCTAATTTACTCTTTTGTTGAGCACAATCAGATTAGAGCTCACCCCTATAATCTCATTTAGCTTGAATTATTTCTCTAAAGGCCCTATCTGCAAATAGTCCAAATACTTAGTCTAAAATACTGAGGATTAAGACTTCAGTATGTAAATTTGAGGGGAACACAGTTCAGCCCATAACAGCTTCCATTTTTATAAAATGAGGGCCTACCTTTCAAGATTATTTTCAGCAATGTTGAGATAATCTATGTAAAGCATTAGTAAATTATCAGGCACATTTTAGGGATGCAGTAGATGATAATTATTCTGATTGTGAAGTAAATATGAATCTCTGATTATACAGATAAAATTTATTTTAGATCATTGATGCACTAACTATAAGTGCCAATTTTTTTCTCTGTAATTTAAAACGTGCTGAACTGTAATAGGAACCTATAAAAACATCAGAGAAAATGCAATCCAAGTTACAACACATATCTATTTTTAACAGTTTAAATTTGGATGAGAATGGCAAGACTTAACTTTTATTTACACAGCTCTTCACTCATACAAAGAAGAACAATATCCCTCAGTGCTTTAGGACTGCTAAAGAGAAGCCCAATGAGGAGCACATGTTATGCAGAAATTACAAAATGGCAATGGTGGCAATTTGCATTACCTCCAGTTCCCCTCATGTTTTACCTCAATTCCAGAGGAGAAATGAGAATGTGCCCAACTGTGTTTTAGGCTGTGGTCACAGGAAAAGTTGTTTGGTTTCTTTCTCTTGAGAGAAATTTGGGAAGTCTGAAATTCAAACACACTCGTGAAATGCAAATAGTTTTATTTATTAAGGGCCACTAATGATCTGTAATAATCACAACTGATTAAGTAAATAAGCAAATCACTTATTAGAAGTGTTTGCAGAATTAAATTAACAAATTTTCTAATTGTTTTTTCTTCATATGCATTTAGCCATATCTGATCTTGAATTGAGTTAAGGAACCAAGCTTCAAAAGAATACAATCTGAAGGAGAAGAGGAGTATCTTGTAATTATAAAACATCATGATACTCTTTAAAATTCTATATGTTATTCATAATTTCTAAGTTCAATGATCTGTGCTGTTATATTAATTAACTCTCAAAATTCTAATAGCTGTTCAGATCACTTGATTTCACTTGCCTACACTACTTTGTTAATTAATGGAAACCATAATTCAGAGCCCTTGCAAGTTGTGCTGCTTCGTTGCATTTAGTGCTGTTGTAATTCCTACTCTTAATTAAATAATGAGGCTTCAGAGCACATTCCTAACTGTGAGTTAAACTAGATTGTGGCTATAGCTGGGATTCCTTCTAGTCAGTCAGGTCAATCAATGCATGTCTTTTCTAATAGGTAGAAGAGTTTATTACTCAACCTTAGAGTCTCATGTGGTGGGATACATGTTCTAGGAAAATCCATCTTTGTTTTGATCAAGTTGCCAGGATTGCATTTTCATCTCCCTTTGCTTGTTGCACCTACCTGGGTTGGAAGAGGTGAATTCTTTTATTTTGTTGTGATCAGTGCAAGCCTCACTTGTGTAGAAATGGAGCAATTAGGATATAGTGTTCTCTTTTCCTTCCTTGAAGGTGACACTCTTTGTCATTCATTCCGAAGTCAACAAATATGGATTGGGCATCTACAGTGTACCCAGGGGCTATAGCAGTGAACAAGAAGATTCCTTTGAGAAAGCAGTTAAATCTCCATTTACATGAGTTTCTGAGCCCTGAACTATTTCAATAGAGAGTACCTGCACTGTATTTTGAGATACTTCTCACACAAAGAAATTTTAAAATGCACTATTTATGTCATAGTAAAAATGTGTAATAGAAGAAGAATAATTGAAACTGAAGCTCTTATAATGGGTAAGCCAGGCTTGGGTTTTACTTAGACTAATGGTATTAATCCACTTTTCCCCTTAATCCTAAACTTCCTGTCTGATTTATCATATTTTACATTTTACTTGCATGATCATTTTTTTAAATTAGGTTGTTTAGCACTGAGTGAAATAGAGCATATGTTTTCCATGCCAAAGGTTATTCAGCTTTACCATTAGGTTTAGATCATCAACTAGAGTTTATTTCTAAGGAGTGACCGAATCATTTATCACACATATGTTTTCCTGTAGAAAAGAAGCAAGTTTTTCACCACTGACAAAGTAACTCAAGGACCAGAGTAAGCCAGAATATCAGGAGATACCAAATGACTATACTTGGAAGCAAGAAATACTTAATTTGACTGGCCTAGCTAATTATTGATTATTCATGAATCATGTTTCCAGTGGATGGGTTATCCAATCCCTTTTCTCCTTCCTCTTGATCCTGCGCTTAGCCATTTAATTTCTTTCTGGCAAAGAAAGTGAAATAGTCAATTTTAAGACTTGGCCCACTTAAAGAAAATATATTGGTTAATCATTCAGAATTATATACAATAAAATATTGATGAAAAGGTATTCAAAATTATATGTAATAAATGTTAATTATTACAATATTTCATTCACTCTGATAGTGCTACTGCAAATGTCATTCACAGATGGTCAGAACCTTATTAAAAGCATTTGAGTGGAAGTGTTTAGAAGGATTTACAGCAATTTTTCTTTCTCAGAAATCTACATACATGATCAGTAAACTCTCATTGAACAGGATAGAGCTATACAAGAATCAGGAGTAAACAAACACACAATCAGACATTAGTCTTTTACTACAAATAGCTTAAGTACTGATATAAGATGTCCTTGATGGTTAAATGTGTCATCAATTTTTAGATACATCTCAACATTAGAGATGTTACCATGGAATTGTTGATATTAATTTATTATTTTATTTCCCATGAGAGGGTTCCTTTTTGCAGAGGAAGTGAGGATATTCTGAGAGTGATTATCTCTTTTTTTGTGGTAACTGCAAAAGTTTTACAATAGAAAGTGAGTTAGCTCTGACTTCAGGCAGACTGCCATTTACTGGGTTTATGATTTTGAACAAGGCTCACATTCCTTAATGGTGAAGAGGA